CAAGGTCATAACTAAATTGTTCAAGGTCATGACTAAATTGATATAACTTTATAGAATAAAAGTAAAGTCCTTTTTGGATTGTCATCATAACCAGAAATAACTAGGAAAGATATTAGGAGAGAGATAAAATAATGTTTTAATTTATTATATGATTAAGAAATTAATTAGAAATAGTTAATGATTAATTATGAATTAATTAGAGATATTTAGAATTGATTAACTGTTATTCATAATTAATATGAAACTAGATGAGTGACCCTGCGGGGTCCGGATGTGTGAACTTTTTTTGTTCGATTGTTTATAAAATGTTGTTTCTACATGTAGGAAACATTGGCAAGAGTAATAATTAATTAAAAAGAAATAAAGAATGAAAGTGTTTTTTTTCTGTTATAAGTAAAGGAAATAATTAATTAGAGATATTCAGAATTGATTAACTGTTATTCATAATTAATATGAAACTAGATGAGTGACCCTGCGGGGTCCGGATGTGTGAACTTTTTTTGTTCGATTGTTTATAAAATGTTGTTTCTACATGTAGGAAACATTGGCAAGAGTAATAATTAATTAAAAAGAAATAAAGAACGAAAGTGTTTTTTTTCTGTTATAAGTAAAGGAAATAACAATGTACTTGGTTAATGGAGATTTTATATTTCATAAATAGCAATGTAATTGCAAAGTTCTTTGTATTTTCTTTAAAAAAACCAACCTTTTCCTAATTTTTGAACATGTATAATCACAAAAAATGAAAAAATAAATAAATAGCATCATAGTTGTATTCAATGGCGGAGTTTTGGTAACAACCATGAAAGGACCAAATTGCCCTTTTTCCCATAACATGATGAATTTGGAGAGCGACACCTTTCTATGGACAGAAGCAGTCTGCAAATGTGTTATCACTTGCACAAATCCATAATACCCCTAAGACCTCTCCAGCAAAATGGTGAACTTTAAAAGTTTGTTTTTCTAATATGCATTCCCCACCTATTACATACACCTGTACCAACATAATGGAATTGGTTATGGAGTGCATCTTGTCACTAAAACAATAGAATTAGTAACAAACAACACAATGTATTTTGATTACTAGATGCAGACAAATCTCCAAAATGAAGATTTGTGATAGAAGAACAGTAACAAAAACTTGTAAATACTGACATTCTTCTGTGGAAGAAATTCATAGACTTTCAAGTACATGGCTGCAACAATGACCATAATATTAAAGTCTGTTCATCAAGTTACTTCTTGGTTATTTCAGAACGAATCACTCGCTTTCCTGTAACAATAAATTCAAAACCAAATAAAATAACCATGAAACATCAAAATTTTATGAAGTGAAACCAACAAAAATTAAATCAAAAAATCCCCAAACTCAAAAATAAATTATCTACTAAATGTAAACACCAACAAATTACCTCCAAATCGAAGTTTGGAAGCAGATGATTATTTACATTGGTCCTCGCATGCCTTTCTCTTTCAACAAAAAGGTTTCAATAGAGGATTAGCAAGTAGCGATATAGAGAGAAATGGAAGATTGAGTCATAATCCAAGAAAACAAAAATGCACTAATTTTGCGCTTCAATATGAGGTCGACAATTATCCCAATCGTTGTGTATTTGCGGTGTTCCAAAAGGTTAATCGGGTGAGAGGTAGAGCAGATGCTATTGGAGAAGATGGCGGTGACTTGAAAGGGTTACAGAAGAATTCAACGGAGCAGCTTGTTTCTAGGGCTTCGAAGGCGAGCTCCAGTGGGCTAGGCAGTGGTCGGCGGTGGAGGGAACAGAGGGTAGAAGAAGGTTGGAGGACGCTTGTACGTATGCATGGGGTAGAAGGTTCGGTGCACGACGGTAATCAAAACGTGGAAAGAAGGGGATGGGTTGGGGGAAGCAAGAGTTGGCGGAAGCTGAATGGAACAGCTATCCGACCTCGAACAGTACCCGGGTGGGAAAAGAACAACCAACGCTACACTTTCTGGTGGTCGGCACTGTCACCATCGGCTGCTGCATTCCTTTTTTTTGTTCCCATGACGACAAACGGTGGAAGACAGAGCAGGCACGGTGAGGCAGTTGAGAAAACATCGACGAGTGGAGGGATTAAACTAAGTCGAGGCGGTGGATCTAGAATCTTGAAAAATATTTTATTAAGGACGATCAAGAGAATGGAACTGCCCTAGAAATCGATTCTGAACACTCAAAAAATCGCGAGAATCCCTAGAAATCGATGAGAACTAATGTTTTTTTGATGCTTATGTAGAAGGAGAACTGATGAAAGGAGAACGGGGATAAAGTCGGTGGTTTGGAGGAGCGTAGGGGGTGTGGAAGGAACCAAAACTGTAGAAAGAGAACAAACTGGAAACACAACCCAGGAAAGAAAGAGGAAGAATGAACATTTCTACCGTGGTAACAAAAATGGTGAAGAAGAACACTAATCTGAATATGATTGGACAACAAAGCGGTGAAGCAAGGTAAAACAACACGTGACCACTAAACATATAGATATTGACACAAAAAGAACCCATTGCAAAGGAAAACAAAAAATAGACGGAAATGAACATACAGATATAAACAGAGTACCACTTTGCCAAAACCTCTTTGCAAAAAGCTTAAGAACTTTATTGTTCCTAAGCATTGGCCCTTTTTAATATATATATATATATATATATATATATATATATATATATATATATATATATATATATATATATATATATATAATTTGGGATTAATTGGAATTAACTAAAGGTGAAAGGGGTGAATTCTAATTGTTCAATAGTTGAACAAAAGAAACAATTCTACAACCATCCATGTTATGGACGGTTTTGGAGGCTTTCCTAGGATTTTTTGAAGGCTCTTGGTTGCTAATAAGGAAATGATTTAAACTATGATTAAATTTATTATTTTATTAATTCAAATATAGTTTTGTCTACAAGTTACCTAAACTATAAATAGGACCCCTTGGCTCCCTAATTTTGTGACTTTTAGCTTACACAAGATAGAGAATGAAATTATCATCGTCTCTCATCTCTCTTTCTTCATTCTAGGATTTCTAGGGTTTTGGATGTGAACCATTAAAGGCATCATATTTTTGGTGCTAACTTTCTGAAGCAGCTCTAAGGATTCTAAAGTGTTATATACGATTATAACACAAAGGTATGTATTCTATTCTATAAACTTCGATTATACCTACACTACTAGAAAATAGCCTTTAATGACACACAAACAATGACACACACTAATTTAGGATACACATTTTTTGTGTGTCCTAAACATGTCAGTTTTTAAAAGTTTGAAGGACAAAAAACATGCATTTGTGCATGCCCTAAAATTAGTGTCCAACAAAAAAATTAAAAACACAGATGGCACTTATCATATAAAGCGTGTCGTGTAAATGTGTCGTTTTATAATTCATGAACGCACGCTCTCCATTTTTTAATAAATAAAGGGGTAATGAAATTCCCCAAAAAATAGAAACCCCGCCTGATGCATCTCCTCCTTCTCCTTCGTATGCTGTAAAATCCTCTACCGAAGAAACCCTAAAAACATTGTGCGACTGTCAATCTTTCTCCTTTTTGTATTTTTGGAACTCTACAGCCATATTAGGTCAACAACGGCGACTATCCCTTTTGTATTCTAGGGTTTTCATTTTCTTTTCTTTTTTTCACAAGTAATTCTTAAATAAAATGTCGACTCCACAAGGTATGTTGGTTTATTGTTTTCCCTCTCTCTCTTCCTTCTCTCTTGGAACTCACTTGAAGAATTACTGGAAAAGTTCACATCCAAAATGTTGTGTTTCAAAAATATAAAACAGAGGTAATGTTTGTTTCTTTTTTGAGTTCATCTGAATAGAAGAACAGTTGATGTTCTTGCATCCAGGCTCTACCTCTATTACTCTTTTAGTTACAAACTTACTGGGGATCTCTATGAAATCATAGGGTAATACAATTATTATTAAATTATCTCTTGTTCTTGTTCATAACCAGTTATTTTTTGTTGATTAAAATCATGACATGTATCAACATTTCATTCATTTATTTCTATGTTCCATTTAAATAACAACTATATTTTACTTATTGAAGTTTCACATCAACTTTATACAAGGAATCGAATAAGTACTACCTTGGCCTTGCACCATTGGAGGATATTGCCAAGTAATTTAGTTGATATTCTTTATACTATTATACTATTCTATTCATGATATTTTAGACCTTTTCTTGGCTTTTTTTTTCTTATTAGGGTAAATTTTCAGACAAATTGCTACTGGCCATTGTAGAAACAACAAAGACTACATTTTCTTGGTGGAGAAAGCTATGTTTAATATTGGTATGTTAATCTTCCCTTTGTCTTTTATCATTTTTGTCCCACAAGGATTCCCTTTATTTTGTTTGTTAAATTACTTAATTTCCTATTGCCATCTTTTGCTTTTACCCCACAAGATTCTTGCTTATCATTCTTGATGAGAGTATATTTAGAAAAAACCAGAAAAACATAACTTTGACCATTTCTTTCACTACCCCTTCTGGTCACGTCTTGCTTATTCACATTTAATTTCCTTTCTTGCCCCTCCTTGAATAAGTGAGTAATGGATTTCCTTTCTTTCCCTTCCTTGAGTAAGTAAAGATTATTGGTGGTTTAGCATAAGTCATGATAACATCCGTGAATTTCTTTATGGTTATAAGTGTATGTGTTAAAAGTCTCATGATCAAGGTATCTGCGGTTAGACATTCGATCTTTTGCTGCATTATTTCAAAGAAATGTGAAGCTCCATACCGATGGACACATTATTTTGGTGGGTCCAAGACTATTGTTCTTTATAGTTATATTTGTTATTAATACGATAATAACAAAATCCAACTACATATTTATCATTTATCACTTGGAGCTTATATTTTTACATTTTTCTACACACTCTTGTAAGAATGCCTCTTCGCAAGTATAGCATAACACATAAATTCAACCCATTCATGGCTGCCAACAACCAGTAAAACTCATCCAAACGAATACTATTCAAATCCTTTCCAAACCAACTTTTCCTAATTTTTCAGTAACATGGCCCACAACAGTTATCAGATAACTGCTTATAAACCTTCCAACACCAATCACACTTAAATATAACGCAGTTCCTAAGCTTCCCATTGAATCTGGAAGTTGATCATAGAAAAATTCTTGCAAACCTGCAAGTGCAAACCTATCTAATATTCCCAGAATCAAGAACTGAGGATCTAATCAAAACACACTCATAGGAAAAAAAAACCTCGTGTTACCTCCTTTCTCTTTCTCTGCAAGTATTGACCACTTTTTCTCCACTAATGTTGCAACAACCATACCTAGAATGGTAACAACCATTTCGATCCCGACTCTTTAGAGGATTGAAAACCCTATTTCCTTTGCAATCATTCTCCTCGAAACTGGAAGCATGATTTTCTCATAGAATACGACAATAAAAAATATATATAAATTCTTCTTCTTCTAAGTCCCTGGAAAAAAAAGAAACTTACTTCTTTCTAGTCAATGAATGTTCTTCGGTTGTAGAAGAATGCACGAATGAGAAAATGATTAGTGTAATTGAATTATAGAAACATGTCAGTTGCTCCACAACCCACCCTAGAGCAATCTTACTTGGGGATTCATTCAACATGTAGCATCCTTTAACATGAGGAGGTATGATAGTTTCTTTAGCTGATGTTGTGATTGTTTGTGATCTTCTCTGACCCCTTGAGATTTTAAATGACACAATTGCCCTCTGTAAGTATCTCAACTCCTTTTAAACATTGCGCAAGGTATATGTTGTAACGCCTGGTTACTGGTATGTATTTAAATTTATAAATTATTCACTTTTGTAGAGAAACTCGATGAGTTGGGAGCCCCAGATTCGTCGAGTAGGGACGAATTTGGACGTGGGTTAAGAAACATACTCGACGAGTTGAGGCCTCTCATTTCCATCCTATTTAAACACATTAACCCCCATAAGCTGACGAGTAGGCTGGCAGAATGAAACCCTAATTTTTAGGGTTTTGCACCCTATTTAAACACATTAACCCCCATAAGCTGGCCTCATTTCCATCCTCCACTGTCCAAAACCTTAATCACGAAACCCTAAGCCATTTTTGGTGATTGTGAGCTTACTTTGAGAATTTTGGTGTTGTTTTGGTGGTTTTGAAGAGAAAGGAGTTTGAAGAAGGAGAAAGGACTTGAAGAGAGCTTGTAGATCCAGAAGTTGGGCCTCATTTCTGAATCATCTGACGTATAAAGCTTCAACCTTATGCATGGCATGCTTAGATCTAGTTTTAGGATGCTTTCTTCATGTTTTGGTCCAAGAATGTTGGTTGTTGGGATTTGGACGTCCCATGTGGGCAAACCCTTCAGATCCAGGGTCTTGAGGGGGCTTCATGGCATAAAGGTGCCAACTTTATGGCCATGGAAGCGCCATACAACCTCTAGACCATTTGATTTGGTCTTTTGAGCCATGTAGGTCATGAATGCAAGTAAAGATAGGAACTTTATGTGACCAAATTGTCCCTAGAGTCCAGATATATGACCTCATAGTCTATCTTGAAGTTTTGATGGCTTTTGGAGTTGGATCTAAGCCATTTTGAGTTAGGGTTATAGCTCATTTCTTCTAGGATGGGTTTTTATGGGTAAAGTTGGAAACTTTACCCTCCTAGGTGTGTTTTCAACCCATATCTGGAATATGGGACTTAGATTCAATGAATAATGGCTTAATGCATTAAGAAGGCTTAACAGACTGAAGAACTCGACGAGTTCATAAAGGAACTCGACGAGTTGGATCGAAGTGTCCCGATTCCGTTAAAAGGAAGGACTCGACGAGTTCAAGGATGGACTCGACGAGTTGATTTGAAAAGTCTCGATTCTCTTGATAGGAGGAACTCGACGAGTTCATGAAAGAACTCGACGAGTTGGATTGCGATTTCAGTATTTTATGATTTATGAAACTCGGCGAGTTGAAGGGCCAACTCGGCGAGTTAAGTCAACTTGGAATGTTGACTTTGACTTTGACCAGGGTGTTGAATTTAACTTTGACTTTGACCAAAGTTGACCCTTAAGGGGTTATGAGTATGAAAGGGTAATTAAAGGAAATCTTTTATGTGTCTTTGAGTTGTGTTGATTTAAGAGCCAAGGACTGTTCAGCTACTTTACAACATTCAAGGTGAGTTACCTTCCCGATAGCAGTGGGTCTAAGGCACCAAGGCCGGCCCACTAGTAGGAGTTTGTAGTTAGATGATTATCTTTGTGATAATTATCTGGTATGCCACTATATGTTATGACTTATGTGTTAGCATGCTATGATATTATGTGATAGTGGTAGGGTGAAATAGACCAGGTATCCGGTCGATAAGACCGAATGGGTAGGTCGGGCACCTAGATATGCCTGGCAGTATGATTATGTATGCTATTATGTGGTAGTGGTAGGGGGCAAAATAGACCCCGTTACCGGTCGAAAAAGACCGAATGGGTAGGACAGCCCCCTGATATGCTAGGCAGTTACCGGTTGAAAGAGACCGAAGGGGTAGGCCAACACCATGATATGCTAGGCAGTTACCGGTTGAAAGAGACCGAAGGGGTAGGCTAGCACCCTGATATGCTAGGCGGTTACCGATTGAAAGAAACCGAAGGGGTAGGCCAGCACCTTGATATGTTAGGCAGTAGTCGGTTGAAAGAGACTGAAGGGGTAGGCCAGCACCCGAATATGCTAGGCATTATGTGTATTGTATGGTATGTGGTATGATGGGGAAACTCACTAAGCTTCGTGCTTACGGTTTACAGTTTTGGTTTCAGGTACTTCTTATTCGAAAGGAAAAGGGCCGGCATGATCGCAACGCATCACACTATGGTTTTCCGCATTATGAGATTCTTGGGAGTTGTACTCTGACATTTTTTTCTTATGACATGTTTTGCTTATTGACATATTGATTTTGATTATGAAATGGGATGACACTATTGATGTTTTCAGACTACTGGTTTTTATAATTACTTAATTAAAAATGAAATATTTGGTCATGAATTGGATTAAGACTTAAGATGCTCAAATTCATTTTAAATATAAAGCTCACTGTTGAATAAAGGGCAATGGTGTTTAAAGCTCATTGGAGAAGAAAGGGAAATGGTGTTAGGTTGAGTATTTTAGCTGGAATAACCATAAATTTGAAATTGCCATTTGGAAAGATTTATATGAAATGGTTTTTGTTAACTTGTGTAGGATATTACCTTTAAAAAGTGAGGTCTAATCTTGGAGTTGGTGATATTTTAATGGGGTTTTATCGTTGTAAAGGTATGAAACCTTTTGTCTTTGTTTTCCTAGCCTGGTTCTGAGTTTAAGTGAGTCGTTTATCTAGTTTTGTTTGATGTTGTCATGAAATGTTTCAGCACGTTGTGGCAATCTGTCCCTATCTTGTAAAAATCATACAAGGCCATCAGATTGTCCAAAAATCATGAAGTCTAGTTTTCTGGAAATTTTAGTGTATATAGTTTCCCACTTTTCCTAATTCTAATTCCTTGATGGTATAAGTACCAATCTTTGAAGACTAGTCCATACAGCCCACTGATTGCATCAATCAACTTCTTAAATTCATAATAAATTCATAAAGAATCGAAATGTCATGAGGTATAGGCATGTGACCAGGTATGGATGTCTAGTTTCATCCATACCAAGGCCTTAACTTAATTCCAAGCACAAAAGTTTAGTTTAATAGAAGAGTGCAAAAATTCATAGATTTCATGTGCTAACTTGTCATGTGCACAAGTAATTTTACAAATCATAATTTATGTAACGGTGAAAATGATTCAACATTCCATTTTAAGTGTTGCTTTGGATGGAATGCATATATGATGTACATGTTGGGTTTTAAGCACAATAACACTCCTATGGTGCACATGTAACCCTAAATGCTTTGGAACTATGTTTTTTCTAATTATACATGCATTTTCAAATTTCCAAAGCATATAACTTAACTAGCATACAATTCAAAGTAACAACTAGTTAGATAACTTACCTCTTGTATAGTTCTTGACCTTGGAAGCTTGAGCATCTCAAGTGTTGTGTCTCTAATGTGTCACAAACACCAATATGAAAAGGAGGCTTAAGAGAATAAGACTTGTAGCTTCAAAATCGGTTCTATGCTCCTGTGTATGAGTGTTAGCCGATTTCATCACTAAGGGAACTCTTTTATAGTGTTTCTCAAAGCTAGGGTTTCATCCATGAAACCCTAATGCACCATGACCTTCCATATCCCTTAGGCTCCATGGGTTAAAGCTTCATGGACTATCCATGAACCACTTAGCCCAACCTAATGGATCTTTGGCCCACACTATAAGAATGGATGATTTACATAATCAACCCCTTTGATTTAATTAGTCACTTTTGATCACAAAATTAAGACAAAACTGCACAAATGGTCTCTGTGGTTAGCTGAAAATTGCCACTTTGGTCCAAAAAGATTTGGACTAGCACCAGAGGTCCAAACTTTTCATTTTGTTGCGAGTTTGGTCTAGTTTTCTATTAACTTTTTCATAATGACTATTTTGCCCTTATATTTTTTCTTTTTCAGTTTTTTATTATTTAAATACTTTTTTGATTAAAAGAAAAAATAAAACAGAAAATTTGTATTTTCTATTTTATTTTTATAATTTTTTATAACAAAATAAAAAATAAAAATGAAATCTCTCTCTCTCCTGTTTAATTCTCAGCCAACCCTAGCCTCTTTGATCCTCATGTTCATTTTTTTTATATAGTGGAACAAACTCCTTCACTACCAACAAATCATTTGGGTTCACGAACATCAAATCGAATACACTTCTCATCGCCACTGGAAAGCCCTACCACTCTCCAAGGACCACCGCCGCCACTCACTCATCCCTTAATCAGTCACTCCGTCACCAATGCCAATCTAAGCTTTCCTAATCTCACTCTGAGAACCACCGCCGAAACCGGGTCTGCATAAAAGGGGTCAAAAGGGGTCGTCTTTTAATCAGCCCCAAAAACAAACACATGGTTTTGATTTCTGATTAGTCCTACACAAACACACATATGTTTTCAATCCCACTTTTCTCTCACCCTCTATTATCATCCCAAACCCTAGTAGCGACGACGACTCTATAAACTTGAATAGAGAAGGAGAATCGATGCTCGTTCCAAGACCTTCAAGTGGGAGCAGGTGATGATGCCATTTACCGGTGTAGGTGACAGAGCATTCCGCTTCCTTGCTTTAGTCTTCTTCTTGCTAGGCTCTGCAATAGGTTCTATTACATGTTTCAAGATTGATTTTGATTTTAGGTCACAGGTAACCGGTGGTGTTTTCCTTTTTGTATCTGAACAAATCGAATTCAAA